CTCTTTGGTAGATTCTTGATTTTCAAAGTTGCCTACACTTGTAATGTCAAAATCAATACCTGAGACACACATGCAGTGTGATGAAAAAAATCTTGAGACGCCTGATGGCACACATTCTGAGATGGGGTTGAACAAGGCCACACTCTCAGTGTTTTAGTTTGTACAGCTCAAACAAATGTCCTTCCCATAGTACATTTTATGCCACATTTTCACTCTGTTTATAGCTTTGTTGCAAATGGCACTCAAGTGTAGTACTGAAAACCTGTCTAGCAGAATTTCTAAGTGAAGGAAACTTTTTGATTAGGTACCTCATGGAGATTATATACATGATGGATGCATTTCATGCTGGCTGAGTTAAAGTGCTATAAGCCATGAGTTCATACTAACCAATCAAGAACATGTGAAACACGATGTCTTTAAATAGATACATATAAAACAATGTTACATATTTAGAAGAAAACAGTGTGGCTAGAATTTCAAAGGAAACTTGTATGGTCCCTTGGGGCACTGATTCAATATTTGCAAATACATGGTCCATAGTGACTTTGAATCACAATAACTTTTGAATATGGAGAATGACACCCTCAGGCAGAAAGGATGTGGTGACCCATTGGCAAAGGTGGAGTGAATGTTTGTTAAGGGCAGGTTTTCCCAAAAGGTTTTGTCACACAACAGATTGATTAGCAGCCCTGATCTGGCCTTGTTTGCAGGTCCACGTCCGCATGCAGGGACAGGAAGCTCTCTTTTCTGAGGATATGCCCTTAAAAGAAGTCATTGTTCATCTCAAGAAACAGTTGTCGGCTGAAACCTTAACAGGAGAGCATATGGAGACACGCTTCCAGGCTGCCCAAAATGCTCCTGTGGAAACAGAACAAGGTGAGCCACGTGAATGTGCATGTCACAGAGGTATTCCAGATGGACCCTTTTGGGGTACAGCTTCACTGAGTGACTTCTTTGTTTCCACAGGAAATGACTATAAAGAAGATGGTGGCACCAATTCCTGGGAAATGACTCAAGTAGATGACAGTAGTACCGATCCAGGAAAAGAAATGGTTTCTCTGCTCATTATCCCAGAAGAGAATAGTCCTAGGCCTGAAGAGGGAGGTGTTTCTTGGGAGAATACGCACAACTCCAGAAGATCAAGGCTAGGCACGTGTGGGTTGCAGGAAGAGTCCCAGGAGGGACCTTCTTACCAAGAAGTCTCTATGGATGTGGGACCAGGATCTTCCTCTGGCTCAGACCAGTCCTCCCCTGAGCCTGTCTCTAAGCAGCACAGTAATGAAGGAAACTCTTATGAAGATCTCTCTGTGGATGTGGGACCTAGATCTCCCTCTCGGTCAGACCGGTCCTCCCCTCAGCCTGTCACTACCTACCAAAGCAATGAAGGAAACTCCACCTGCGAGGGACCCGAAGAAAGACTCCGTGGAGGCCCCAAATCATACAAATGTGAGGAATGCCCAAAGACCTTTAGGTATTTCTCCCATTTATTAGCCCACCAAAGAAGACACAGGAATGAGAGGCCATTTGTTTGTGCGGAGTGTAACAAAGGGTTCTTCCAGACCTCAGATCTACGTGTGCATCAGATGATTCATAAGCAAGAGAAGCCTTTCGCATGTAGCCAATGTGGAAAGTCTTTTACACACAAAACAAACCTGCGGGCTCATGAGAGAATTCACACAGGAGAGAAGCCCTACAAATGCACCATTTGCCACAGAAGATTCCGCCAGTCATCCACATACTACCGTCACCAGAAGAGTCATGAGAGACTTGGATCCCAAAAGGTTCACTCCACATCGGAACCTTCCTCCTCAGCCAGTGGGACGATGTAATGGGTATCAGTACACATGCAGAGAGTTGTTTGTGTAGCACTTATCCACTGACAGTCCATCATGTAATTTCCTGTTTATGTTTTCTACTTATATTTTTCCTTCACAAAGTGTACATTTCAAGAGCACACGGAACATGGCAGTTTGTTCAGTTGAGCATTCCAGCTGAGAGAACGTGGCTGAGTAGAAGGGGAGCCTCGTTCAGAGTTACTCAGATAAGTCCCACTAAAAATACAGATAATTGGAAGAAAAGGGAGGACATACACCCTGAAACCAAAATCAATCAGAAATAGGAGAGTCATAGATCAAGAAAGACAGAGAAAAATGACTTAATATACTGGCCA